ATCCACAGTCAGTGAGATTTTGTGGGTTTGATGGCTTCTCAACGACCTACAAGTACACATTAATGGTCCTACTGTCTTATACTGTGACAATCAAGCAACTCGTCACATTGCAAATAATCCAGTCTTTCATGAGCGGACGAAACATGTTGAAATGGATTGTTTTTTTGTTCGTGAAAGAGTTGTTTCTAAGGAAATCTTACCAATGCATATCGATAGCATGTTTCAAGTTGTAGATTTGTTAACAAAAGGTCTTGGAGCAAATCAGTTTCAGTTCTTACTTGGCAAGATGGGCATTATCCATTTACATGCTCCATCTTGAGGGGGAGTATTGGATAGTATTTGTCTTTGGATAGTATTTATCTAAATGTTTATCCAGTTAGCTTTTAAATTGTTTGTGTCTATCCTCGTTTTTAGTTTATCAATTTTAACAAATTCTTGTAATCCCTATGTATAGCTTTGCGGTTTTAATGAATGATATGTTTTTTTTCCCTCTGATTTCAATACCATCGAATTTAAGAGAAAATGGATTAACCGTATTTGCGGTTAATGGTGAGGTTTTGGCTAATAACCGCACCGAAACCCTAAACCACACCACGCTCACCCCTAGGTAAAATACTGAATTACTGATTTTGGACAAACACACAAAATATACTGATTTCGAATAATACAATAGTTTCACCTTATTCAACTCGAGCAAAGAAAACTGATTTAGACTAACACGAAAAAGATACTAATTTCGGAGGAAAAAAAAGTTATCTTTAACTAACCAATAAAAAATTGATTTCAATTAACATAAAAATGCTTATTTTGACTAGGACTGTTAACATACAAAGTCAGACGATACATTCTTCAAAGGTTTTTGGGATAACTTTTAAAATGACTTTTTGGATTTTTGGCTTTTTCAAAAAGTTAAAAGTTTGAAATGTTGTTTGGTAATTATAAAAGTCCTTTAACTTTTTGGCAAGAAGAAAAAGTTATGGTTTTAAAAGTCACAAATTATGACTTTTGATGATTTTTGATTTTTTAACCTTTACTTCAAAAACTAATCCAAACACATTTTAAAACCTATTTTTTTTTGAAAAAAGCTATAAGTCAAAAAATTCTTTTGTTGAAAATGATTTTGTAAACTAAAAAGCAATCTCAAACACCCCCTTCAATTCGACCAGCAACATATAAAATTTGATTTCGACTAACCCACAAAAAGATTGATTTTGAATAACAGATTGAAAACAACTGATTTCGGCAAAGAATAAAATAGGAAAATTTTGATTTAGTTTAACATACAAATAAAAGATCATTCTAACTTAGAGTAAAAGCATACAAAACAAATGGAATCGACGATAACTTACGGATGAAGAAGGAATGGTAGTGGCAACAGGTGAAGACATGAACTGCCGATTACTTAAAGGCCTATAAGGGTTTTCTACTAATCTTGGAAATTGGTTAAACTAAAATAGAATTTGACCCTTCATTTTTCAAGAAACGACTCTTCATTTTTCAAGAATCTAAAATTTTATTATTTAATTCAAAATGTTATGGCCTTACCTATACTAATTAATAAGCTATAAATCGTATATATAGTATTATTTTCGGGTTATATATCGGGTTAATTTTGAGTTATTATCGTGTTGATTTTGTTTTTATTTTTTTAAACCTGAACACGACACGATACGACGTTGTGTTTTATATTTACGATATGAACACGACACGAACACGAATTCAAAATTTGATTTCATCTCAATTTCGTTTCGTGTCGTTTTTTTTAGTCGTGTCAACTTTTACGACCCCTACTCTAACCCAACCAAATACCATTCGTCGGTTCTTCTCCAACTTGGAGCTGCAAAAGATACACAGAGAAAGTGGGCAAGACAGTCGAAGAGGCGAAGTAGATCTGAAGTGTTTTTTAGACGGTAGTGCTTGGGTACGCTGGAGACAAGTGAGCGGCATCGACCATGTTGTTGGGCTTGTCACCTCTCAGGTGTCGGCCCGACTTTTGAAACATTTGGACCACCGATGACCAACCACAACGATTTCCGGAACAAAATCCATCATGATTTACGCATCTGGCCGAAGTTGGGATTTCAAGATATGCAAACAATTTATGGAATGCTAAGGCCGGAGGTAGGAGCTTTAGGATCTGTTAACGATTTTTGGAACTCAAGTTCTTGAAAAACAGGTTTTTGGCATTATGTTCGATCAATTTTTGAAATGGATTTCATAAACTATTTTGTACAATTGATTTTGGGCAAATTTGTTTATATGATTTTTGGCAGATTTTGGGTTACCTACTCTTCCACATGCAAACTGTAAATTGCAGCCTCTAAACACTAGACAAATGAAAATCAATAAGAACGATGGATTTTTTTTCCTAGATTTACATAAAACTAAAAACAGTTAAAGGATTTTTGAGATTGTTCTATAATTAATTTGTTTGTTCTTTAGGTTTTACAGAGATTGTAAGGATTTTTATGGCTTTTGTTGAGTTTTTTTTCTTGGATTCAACATTTAAAATGTTGATTTACATATTTTCAATCATCAGAATATTCTCTTTATCTCTGATGGTGAGGGTATCAATGGAGGTATGTTCAGGTGCGGTGGTAGGTGGACGGAGATGTTTTCCGACGAGTAGAGATGATCGGACATGAAGCAGTCGAAGATGAAGGTTCATATTTCTTATTTCCAGATTTAAGGGTTTGGATGGGGAGCGGTATAGATGGTTTTTTTTTTTTTTTTTTTTTTTTTTTTTTTTTTAAATATAATTAAAAAAACAAATTATAAGTAAATAAAAAAGAAATTAATAAAGATAAAATAGTTATTTTATATCCGTGAAGGATGATCCGAATTAATTTTTAAAAATAAAAACACACTCAATTAATTTTTAAAAATAAAATCTATCCATTTTGACATTTGGATAATTTATCACCGAAAACATTATAGGCCCAATACAAAAAAGATCCTACACTAGAATTGACTTTTCCTTACTTAAAACAATAATTATTACATAAAGAATTTAATTCATGTGAACATTTTAAATTTTGGTTAAGTTTTTTTAATATTAAATTAAATTGATTTAATTTTAATTAAATTAATAGTTTGGATATAGATGTGAGTTTTATAGTTTTAAGTGCCATTTGTTTTTTTGGCTGTAAATCTTCTTGAGATCTCTTGTCTGCGTTGCGCAGACCAAATGTAGACATTAGCCTTTGCATGTTGTTTGTGTTTTTTTTTCTTTTGAAGATTGCAGACCTAAAAATATATGCGCGTCATTTTCTTGGTACAGATGTGAACTAGAGTCTTTTAACATCTTTTAGCCTAATAAAGTAAATACATCTTTATTTTTTTAGTTTTTTAATATATTTATTCCAACTTTCTTAATGATGAACAATTTGAAAAAAAGGTCACAATACTTAAAAAAAGGTTCGACAACATAAACATTGTCTTTTTGACAAATTTATAAATAATGATTTATTACAATAATTGCTATTGAAGTTGCTTATATAAATATGAAAAAAAAAATCATAGTATATTTTTATATTCTTTGTGCCAAATTTTATAAAGTATTATGTAATACAACATTGTCAATTTTTTTGGGAAAATAGTTATGAAATGTTTTTAATTAATTTAATTGATAAAATCGAAGTTTATTTCCATCTATTTATATATCAAATTATTTGATTCATAATTACAATGTTTAAGTATAACTTTGCGACTAAAATTGTTGTTTTTTATCAAATATATACGTTAATTCGTATAATTTTTTATTTTCACTTTTTATACAATAATAAATAAAAGTTGATCTACACTTGATAAATATCTATAACAAAATTATAAAAATATTAAAAAATCACTTTGATATTAAAAAAAATCAGTTTATTTATATTTTAGTTTTTTTCGTAGCTTGTAGATGTTAAAAAAACAAATAGTTTTTTATTTTTTTTCCAAATTGCAGATGTTTGGCCCATATTTTTTACTACAGAGGTCTACAGATGTTGTCCACAGACTGTATACATTTTGCCTAAAAAAGCAAACAACACCTTAAATTTATACACATGTAAATTTAAAATTTATAAGAATATAAAAATAATATTTAAAATTTTTAAGGATGTAAAAGAAATTCTACTGGCGTGTATAGTAAAGTGAAAATTTTATAGAATAAATGGACACATTATTCGAACTTGAGTTGCTTGTACCATTGGAAAGCGGTATTGTCAATTCATGCGGAAAACCTTTATGTTACAAATAAAATGCATCGTATATATACTTAAAATTGGGCCCTAAAATTTTGAGGCCCTATACGTTATACATCTTGCACACTCATGATGGCGGAGCCTACTTGAAATCATGTGTAGAATTTATGATTATGAAAATTATGGTATTATTTTCATCAAATCAAGCAGACGGGATTTTGTAACATCTAACTTGACTTGATTTATTGAATTTGTTAGACAACAATTTGGTAAGAAAATCAAATATACCAAATAAATTTGTGCTAAATTTATACCAAACCATATAAATTTGTGCGTATTTCACTAAACGTTAATATACCAAATAAATTTGTGCTAAATTTCGGCCTAATTGATTAAATGACTATTATCTTTGAAGCAAATTGACCAAACCATAAATGAAAATCAGTATTAGTAATCTATCTCAACCTTACGATTTTAAATAAAGAGATACAAAGTTTTACCTCATTCATAAAGCGATGTTGTTACTTCTGAATTATTTTTTGATGACTTAACAATCCTATAATAAAGTTTTTCTGGTTTCAACATAAAAACCGATAATATAATCTGATAAAGTTTTTAAACTTCATGGTTTACCCTTTTTTTAGTAGTAGCAAGTGAAAAACACCTACAAGTAAACATAGAAAAGATTATCCACAAAATTAGCTATGTGTCACCACGAGTAGTAAACATGTACCAAAAATTAAATCATAAAAAATAGTTGAAAAGATTATCCAAAAATACCCATTTTCATGTTATTGATATACAAATTACAATCACAAAACCAAATACAAAACAATCACGCGTATGCAACACATCGAAATTCCATAAGTACTAAAATGTCATTGTAAACTTGTCTCGATCTAAAGTGCGCTACTGTTTATGGTGGACACGCAAACGTGTTTCCATGGACTAGATTGCTCGACCCTCAATTGACTAACAACACAGAGTGCATATCTTAAACGCTAAAGCACATACTTTTAGCCATTTAAGGACGTCTTTATATATCTAATCCCCCAAAACTGGATTGAATTCTCTTCGTGGTAATGGTATCCAGCGACTTCGAAAACATTCAACACAGTCATACCCACAAAAACCTTTAAAGTCGCCCAATTCGCTTTGACTGGAAAACCCATCAATGGCAGCGGCTAAGGATCTCAAAACCCCTTTACTTCCGTCCTCCGACGACTACGGCCGCCTGTCACAGCCACCATCAGATGCCGATCATCAACTTCATAACCCTCAACTCATCCTAGACGTCATCGATCATTTGGATCCTTCCGCATCTTCAAATCATGAAACACCGACAAACGAATGTTCAATTTCTATCAATACCCAATTGGATTTTGATGAAAACCCATATGGGTTTATTGGGTCAACCGGGTTTGAAGTTCCCGGGTCGACCACGGTGGATCCGTTTAGGAACCATACACCCAAGATTGAAGGGGTTTATGAGTGGGTTAAGTTGTTGATCTGTGCGCCGATTGCATTAGCTCGACTTGTATTGTTCGCATTTTGTTTGGCGATCGGGTATCTCGCTACAAAATTTGCATTAAGTGGCTGGAAAGATAAACAAAATCCAATGCCCAAATGGAGGTGTAGGGTTATGTGGATCACCCGATTGTGTACTAGGGGGATTCTGTTTTCATTTGGGTAAGCTCAATTTACCCTTTTTTTGTAATCATTACGCATCTATGAGTCAAACTATCACGAACTACTGCTCATATTAACCATTTGCAGATACCATTGGATACAGCGAAAGGGGAAACCAGCTCCAAGGGAAATTGCTCCTATCATTGTATCTAATCACGTATCTTACATTGATCCAATCTTCTTCTTCTATGAATTATTCCCAACAATTGTTGCATCTGAATCCCACGATTCCATGCCCTTTGTTGGTACCATTATTAGAGCTATGCAGGTAAACAAATTTCATCCACAGTTCTTTTCTACCATAATATCTCGACTCTTCATGGAAATTTTTCTTCCATTCTTCACATATAGGTGATATACGTAGATCGTTTTTCACAACAATCACGGAAGCATGCAGTAAACGAGATAAAGGTAAGCAAGTTGAGAGGTGTCATTGTAAAATCACATATATGTATGTAAGCAATTTGATACAGAATGTGCTTTTAAGGATTTGAATACAGAGAAAAGCCTCCAGCGACAGATTTCCTCGGCTACTTTTATTTCCTGAGGGAACCACAACAAATGGAAGGCTGCTTATTTCATTTCAACATGGCGCATTTATACCTGGTTATCCTATTCAACCAGTTGTTGTTCGTTATCCTCATGTACATTTTGATCAATCATGGTACGAATTAAGATCATAATCAATTTTGACTATTCAATTGACTTTCTCATCGTACATTTTGATCAATCATGATTTATCACATGGTTTGTAGGGGTCATATTTCATTGGCGACACTCATGTTTAGAATGTTCACACAATTTCATAATTTTATGGAGGTATATAACTATATACTCATTGTTTGTTGTTTAAGCATGTAAATATATATAACATGTTTTCTTTGTACTTTTTTTAGAAAAAAGTAATAACTAATTTTGGAATTGATTAGGTTGAATATCTTCCCATTGTTTCACCCTCGGAACATCATAAGGAAAGTGCTGTTCGTTTTGCTGAAAAAGTGAGTTTTCTGTTTTATTATAATTGCTTACTTACAAACATTTTAAAAATACACGTTACAATTGCTTAGCTTTTAGATCTCTGTTTTCAAATGATTAGGTTTTCAAATTTTGAACTTATAGATTTTTGTTTAATTATTTATGCAGACAGGTAGAGCCATGGCTCGTTCTCTCAATGTTGTGCAAACATCACATTCGTTTCTTGATTACTTGCTTCTTTCAAAGGCAGCTGATTCTGGACATGTAAATATATATATATATCTACTTTTCTTACAAAAAACTATTTATCAAAAAGGAGTGAAACCACATGTTAATATTGTTCTATTCTTTTTACAGGAAAATCCATCTCTCTTTGTGGTTGAAATGGCAAAGATTCAACAAGTGAGTGTGTATCATAAGTTCAGTGTAATCAATTTATCACTTCTATTATTATAATACTTGAGATGAATCTTTGTGTTGCTTTTTTTTTTCTCAGTTATTTCATTTGAGCTCTTCAGATGCTCTAGACTTGTTGGATAGATTTCTTGCTATGAATCCTGATTCCAGGTATGTCATTATTAATATCATTGTTTTTAATCATGTTGTTTAGTTGTTCATCTCTAATTTCCACAATTCTATTTCTAGATTCAATTACTATCTTTTTTGCATTTAAGGAATTTCAAGAATCTTATTTAAATTACAATCTTTTTTGCAGTGGAAACGTCAAAATTCAAGATTTTTTAAGGGTTTTAAGATTAAAGCGTTGTGGTCTCTCAGAAAAGGTCAGTTGTCAAATTGTTTCTTGATGAGATTGATCTTGGCAAGATTTAGAGGGCATTTTTGTAAAAGTACATATATGCCCCCTTGTAGTTCCCAACATCATAATAGATTGCTTATTAGCATCATTATCTTTTTTCACAGATGTTTGAGTTCATTGATGTGGGCAGGAATGGGAAAATCATCTTTAAAGAGGTAAACCATGTCTGCTAATGCATGCATCTTTAGAGGGTATTTTTGTAATTTACATAATTTCGTACCCTGCAGTTCTTGGTAGCATCAGCTCATGTACTCAACCAGCCATTGTTCCAGCAAGCTTGTGAAATGGCCTTCACTGAAAGTGACATTAATCAAGATCATTACATTTCTGAGCAAGAAGTAAATTTTTTTTTTTTTTTTTTAAAATTTCAAATTTGTCTTCACTGAGTCATTGTCATCATTAAATGTTTTGAATAATTCGTTTCTTGAAACTGCTACAGTTTGGTGCTTCATTGATGCCAGCCATGGGAAGTTTGAGTACGGATGAGGTGAGGGACCAATTACGTCATTTATTTATAGTTTAGGGACCAGTTATGTCATTTATGTACAGTTAACTTATGCCCTTGACATGATCATGAAGTGAAAATTACTATATTGCAGATAGATGGGGTGTTCAATCTATTTGATGAAGATGATGATGGTCGGATCAGCAAGGGCGATTTTGTAAATTGCTTAAGAAAGAACCCATTGCTCATAGCACTTTTTTCTCCCCATTTCATGCATAAAGACTTGGATCAAAATGCAGCAGCTGGTTATTTAGAGGAAATTGTGTGATGTATTCAGGATCAAAGGGGCATTTTTCATGGAGCTTTTGTCCTTATGGATGGGCAATTGTGTAATTTTGTTGGGTTGTGGGGGTTTATAGACAAACTGGTAATCATAGTTTCATGTTCTTTTAAAGTACATATTGAATGAAAACGAAATGATGTGTGGCAGTTGAAGTAATGAGCCTTCATAAAGGTGACTACAGTTTAAGCTCTGTTTCTTATTTCTTTTTTTTGACCGAATAAACTGTTTTAATGACTCTTAAAGACTATTTTATCCTTGCATGCAAAAAAAAAATACAATATACGTTAATAATTGTCAATTATAACATATGATGTAAGCAAAAACTAGATAACAAATAGGTAAAGATTTAATTCATTAAGCTAAGTGTTGTGGTTTAATGAGGGTGGTTTAACTATTAAATTAGGTTTATACTTCATCTAGTTTTTTGATCTTTTCGATTGTTTTATCTGAAATTAGGTTTATACTCTATCTGATTTTGTACTTGTTGATACTGAGTTAGAGTAACTCCCCCTTTGTATAACAGTGATCGACATTAAAGAACCATGTGAAAAAAAAAGCATCAATCTCATGCATATGTGTGTTTAAAAACAAAAGTTCAAGAACAACACAGCACAACAACGAGTATCTTTAATGTTAGCTTCTTCAACACCTCTTACATATACGTAGAATCTTGTTTGATATGTGAAGAATCGCATTAGTATATACAAGGTAACCTTATTATTATTATTATTTATTTTTTTATTTTTTCATTATGTGATTCCTTGACCTCATGAGTTTTTTATGATTTAAAATATTTTCAATTTTCAAGTAACTATTATGCTTTCTACAACATTTCTTCTTTTTATTATCTTATAAAACCTGGGCAATGCATGAAAAAGACCAATATACCTTTACTTTCTTGTCTTCGGAAAATTTTAAAGGAATTCAAATGTTATTTTGAATTCATATCTTTATCTTTAGTTATCTCTATCTTTAGTTTATGTTGCTAGCATTGTTATCTTTACGCTTTATTAGCTTCATCAGATATTGTATTTAAAGTTTTTTGAGAAATCAATTAAGGTCAAGTTATCGTACTATCAGTTTTTTCATGGTATTAGAGCCAATCGATCCAACCTAAAAGAAAACCCTACCATGGGCACCGGTGGTGAAGAAGGCTTCGGCAAGAAAGACAATGAAACCACAAATATCAACTCCAATTCACCTTATTACTTGCATGCGTTTGATTATCCCAGACAAATGCAAGTGAATGACATTCTAACTGATAGCAATTACAGCGATTGGTCACAGGAGATGACAAATTTCCTGTATGCAAAGAACAAGATGGGATTTGTGAATCAAACCATCGAGAAACCAGAAGAAAACGCTGATGAATACTTGATGTGGATGAGGTGTGATGCCATGATCAAAGGATCGCTCACCACAACAATGGAGAAAGGCATCAGATCCAGCGTGAAGTATGCCTCCACATCAGCAGAAATATGGGCAGATCTCAAGGAACGTTTTGGAAAGGAGAGCGTCCCTCGTGCTTATGAACTAAAGAGAACACTAACTATTACACACCAAGATGGCGCTTTCGTTTTTGCCTACTACACTAAGATGCGGAGTGTATGGGATGAGATTCAATCAGTGTGCCCTCTGCTCTCGTGCACATGTGGAAAATGCTCTTGTAATATTGGGAAAAGATTGACTGAGTCTAAAGAAAAGGAAAGATTGTATGAATTTCTTTGGGACTGGATGATGATTTTTCGACTGTCAGGACTCAAATCTTCACATCGAAACCTACACCAACACTTGGAGAAGCTTACCATCTCGTCGCTGAAGATGAACAGCAACATGCCATCTCAGCCACAAGAAGGATGCCTCATGATGCATGTAACGCCCGTAGATCCGGGCTAGTCAATTTAGAGGTAATAGGGGTCGAAATGACTTTTCGACAAAAGATTATTTAGAATAAATAATCTTAACCAAGTTGTAGAATATTTCACAAGGTTTCCGTACATATAAAGAGCGTCGAAATCGGAGTTATAACGAAGAAGTTATGACCCGTCGAAGTTTTGCGACGAAACCGGCAAAACACCGGGAAACGTAAATAGTGATTTTACGATGGAGGAATTTTTAGCCTTAGTGATCTAAACGAAAGTCGTATACTGTATTAAACCGAGAAAATCCATAAAAAGAACGCCCAAATCTGACTTCGTATGAAGAAGTTATGATTTTTCTAAGATTCGGCTTAGCAGTGCACAACCCGAAACTCGAATTTTAGTTCGAAAGGTTTTTGGCTTACGTGACTTAAATGAGAGTTGAAGATCTCATTAATAAGAACTTAACAGTAAAAAGACAGACGAAAACAGAATCCGTATGAAGGAGTTACGAATTCTTCGCGGTCATTTAACAGTCTAAACTCCTCGTACTGTTAAATTTAAGATCGGTCGAGAATTAGCCGACGGAGTCAAAATGAAAGTTGTAGATATTATTTTTACCTACGCGTGGATAGAAAGAACGTAAAAAACGGAGATCGTATGTGAAAGTTACGGATTTTAGAAGTCGGAAGTGCTGTGCGAAAATGGGTGATGTGGCACAATCTTAGCCATTGCTTTCTCCCAAAGTCTTGCCACTAGATGGTGATATGTGGCATCAAGTTCAACCATTTTCACCCTATAAATAGAACCTCTCCCACCCTCATTTTCTTCACACCTTTCTCATTCTTTCTTCTCTTTACTTTCTCTCTAGAACCTCTCTCTAGCCCCGAAACCCCCCAAAAAGCCTAGGGAACCTCCCTAGCACAAGACGGAAGCCCCTGAGTGCTCGACGGCTCCGAGAAAAAGAGCTTTTTCGCATGGGAATGCTGCTCCAAGCAAAGCTTGGTTTTCTATAAAACCCGCTGTAAGTGAGTTACGCCTACGCTATTTTTAATATAGTTTTTATTTAATTATATTAACGTTATTAAGAACATATAATAAATAATTGGGCTATTATTATGGGTTATATAAGTATTATTTAACGGTTATATAATAGTAATAATAGCTAGACTATTAATTAGTCTCGGTGAATAATAGACTAAACTCTGGTGGTAATAATACTAAGTTTCGTCGAAGGAAATTATTTTTTTCAAGAAGTGAAGCGTTGTCTGAGTTCGGAATCACCACCTTTTCAAGTGGGTGCATAGTTACTTTCATCTTACACATAGATATGAAGTATTTTATATAAACTACGTGCTATGTGTGCATATTATCTGTATACTTGCTGTCTATGCTGGATGAACGTTTTTATGCATGTTTTAAAGGATTTAAACTGTATACGCATTTTATATATATACGAATATGTTGGGTATGACATGGGTAGATGAATGATGAGAGATAAAAGATGATGTGAGTAAACATTGGTAGCTATTGACTAAGTGCCTAATAAACATCGGTAGTTATGGACTTAGTGCCTATTGGACAAACACCGGTAGCTATGGATTTAGTACATGTTAAGGAATTGGTAGCTATGGACTTAGTACCTATTAGATAAACACTGGTAGCTATGGATTTAGTACCCGATGAATAGACTATAGCAGCTATGGAATTAGTGCTTTATGAACGAACATTGGCAGCTATGGATTTAGTGCCAGTCCTATAACCCTGGAAGTAAGGGACTTCGGAATAAACGAATGCAGAATAGATGACTCTTAGGATAAATCCTTAAGAGTAAAGAAGATAATGGGGATGGGTAATTGGGTTGATTGTTTGATTGTTTAAACATAATAATTATATTATTGTGGGTTGAAAACCCTATGTACTCACCAGGTTTCCCAACCTGACCCACTCAGTTTATTTATATCACAGGTGTTGATATGAAGTCACATTACACTGAGAGATTAAAGAGATGTAGATCACTAGTGTAAATAAATGTAAGTTCTGTTTATGCTTATGTTCCTGTATTGACGATGACATCCCAAACGTTTTAAAATGAATAAAATACGTTTCTTCGAAAATGTTTTAATAACGTATTTATCGTGTTTTTCTGGGAACGAATTCCACAACATTTTTATTAAAAGAAGAACTCTGATTTTTATAAAGCATAAACAAAATCGGTCTTTTCTGGTCGTGAAAATGGGGATGTCACAAAAGAAGGCCAATAGAAGAGAAAGGAGATCCAGAATCTAGCTTCCATTTGCTACATATTCTGGTAATAAAGTTATCACCTTGCCCATTCTCCCATTTAACCCTCTTTTATGCTTGTTTGTGTTTCTCTTGGAACTTTATATGATTCAAAATCGATATGTGAACTCTCCTTAGGATGAAAATCAGAGATCTGGATGTTATTGAGCTCTAGGAGCTCAATGTAGCTACCTTTATGAAAATATAGCCTTGTTCAAAACCCTAAGTGCTTATTGTGGGATGATTTTGGTGTTTTAGCCCCATTCTCTTGTGCATGCACGTAAACTTGGAAACTTTACGTGTGAAACCAGCCTTAGTGTAACAACGCAAATTTTCAAACAAATTTTTCATTTCAAACAAATAGAGTATTTTTATTCAAACTAAATATAATTATTCCAAGTGTTAAGTTGAAATACAATTCATAGAATTCCCAAGATCTCAAAACATCAATCAGTGTGTACGCATCACGCCAGCGCCTTCCCACTGTCCTCGCTAGTACCTGAAACACATACATAAAAACTGTAAGCATAAATGCTTAGTGAGTTCCCCAATATACAACTTACACATATACGCCTTTCCAGGCCCTGACCTTCCGGTCCACAACACAGCGCTTTCCGGCCCATAACATAATCGCCTTCCGGCCCATAACATTTTGCCTTCCGGCCCATAACATATTGCCTTCCGGCCCATATAAACATACACAGCACGCATAACAATTAACTTACCACATATATCACATATCATATCCGACCTTCCGGTCACACAATCAAACCCTTCCGGGTACAGTATAGTGAGAAGACTCACCTCGTGGATACTGAAAGCTAGCAACTCCTGAAATCACTCGTACTCGATCCGCCGAGCTACAAACTCCCTATAATATCATATATCCCTTATTAACACTTTTATCTTCCAAGTTAACTGACCCTAAGAAATCACACATAGGTCAACTCTGGTCAACGGTCCACGGTCAACTCGACCGGACTCGGCGAGACTGGCGACTCGGCGAGTCTAGTCGTCCTCCAATCCTCTAAGATTCCCTTCTACTCGTCGAGTATCCTCCTTGACCCGACGAGTTACTCCTGGAAGAATCGCGGGGCCACCCCGACTCCACTCGCCGAGTCTGAAGAACAGCTCGACGAGTCCCAGTTATTCTCCAAGCTACTCGCCGAGTCTGTTCATCGGACTCGGCGAGTCCATGCCATGCAGTCGATCAAACTGTTTCCTAAGGTCAGAATTGTTCCGACCATTCATAGGTCTGGTCCTCCTAGACTGGTCCATCACGTAAGGTCTTCATTTAGGTGTTCATGCTACACCCCAAGACTTATAATTTACATGTTGACCTAAGGCATAAGGATTTCAATCCAAAACCTTCATCAATTCCCGGAATGCACAGACATGGGACATTCTGGACCTCCAAAGGTCCCAACACGGGGTTACAATCGT